CCACTGTACTGACCCAGCCTCAGCCCTCTGCAGCCCTCCCCTTCCCGGCTCTGCCCTCCTGAGTCCTGCAGCTCCAGGGCTGGGCCGTGCCATTTTCAGGTGCTGACAGGCGCCGTCCCCGCAGGGCTGTGGGTGGACAGGGCTGTCTCCAGTGGGTGTGTGTGCCGTGTCAGGGAGCTGTGACACCCCGCCAGCCATTTTGGCAGCTCCTGACAAGTAGCTGCAGCTTCTCCCTCGCAGCCTGCGGGAGGAGAGAGTGTGAGGGCAGGGTGTGGAGGGAATGGGCTGGGGCTTGGGGAGAAGGTGCTACAGGAAGGATTTGCCTTTGGAAGGGCTTCATCCCCAGCAGCAGCTTTCTGGGCTCAAGAAGGGGCAGCGAATAACTGGGGTAGCAGCTCAGTCCAGTTCATAAGGTCTTGGAAGGGGATGGGCTCGGTGGATGCAGAGGCCTTTTCCACTGCCAGTGACAGATGCCATGGTTCTGTCAGTGCTGTCTGAGCAGCTGCAGTGTGACAGCAGAGTGAGGGCTGGCAGGATTGAGGGGGGATTGCTGGAAGGTTTGGAACAGTGAAATGCCGTGTGCTCAGAGTGACAGCATCCCACTGTGCTGGGCACGGCCTGCTCCGGTCAGGAGCCAGCCAAGGAGGGAGGGAGGGGATCCCTGCTCTTGCAGGGACCGTTTTGGGGAAGAGGGGAGCTGGGCTTGTGCTGTTTGAGCCCAGAGATTCCTCCAGGCTCATCCATGGAGGACACATCTCGGATTTGTGCTCACTGCAGCACTGTCCCTGTCACTGCTGTGGCCACCAATGCATAACCCTTTTTTGGGGGAAGAGCTCTGTCTGTGACTGAGGCAGAGCAGCTCCTGTGCCCTGGCCTGTGCTTTGCATTCCCTGCAGCCCTGTTCAATATTTGCTGTTCCAGTCGCTCCTCTTTAGGCTTTGGGCACCAGGGAGTTCACTCTGATGGATCAGTTGGGAATTGCCTGTGCAGAGAAGGCTTGTTGCTGCAAAAGGCTTGTTCTTGGGGGTTAAAAAAAACCCCACTTCAGTAAGTTCTTTGTGATTCCAAGCAGCCCTTCTATGATTTGTGTTGATTAAAGAAACATCCTGCCTAAGACTGTAATGGAAACAAACACCTTGATGAGGCTGGGGCTGATAATGAGGAACGGAATTAATTTCCTGCCTGATCAAAGCAAGGTTTATTCCTTGTGCCCAGAGCTCTGCTGCACTACACAAGTTCGGTGATAAGGTTTTCTGCCCTGGCTGTGGCACGTTGGAGGTAAACCTGGAAAAGGGGCCAGGGAGGTCTCTTTGGGGACAAGAGGAACAGCAGCTTTAGCAGTGCTTTCATTTCAAACACACCAATGCCACTGGCTGTGGCAGTGGCAGAATGGGCTGGGAGTGCAGTGGGTGGCTGTTGTCCCCCTGCCCCTTGCAGAGAAAAGATGACTGTGAGTTGAAGGAGAGAGGAACAAAGCTGGGGGGTGGAACTTGCTCAGAACCCCCCAATGATGGTGTCCAGCACCAAAAGCTGTGGATGTGCCAGCACTGGGGGCACGGTGCTGCACCCCAGTGTCCTCTGCAGCAGCCAGGGGTCTCCTGGGGAGGGGGTGGCTCTTGGTGGGCACAGGGCGTGGGGGTCCAGCAGGGGCCTCAGCACGGTGGTGGGTGGCTCTTTCAGAAGGCAGTGAATTCCACATCAGGCACGTGGGGACGTGGGTTAGTGGTGACTTTGGCAGTGCTGGGTTAACAATTGGACCTGATGATCTCAGAGGGCTTTTCCAGCCTTAACAGTTCAGGTGCCTCCCTGTGAGCTGTGTCTGGAGGAAGCGCTGGTGTCCCTTTGTGAACAGGCAGCTGGAGCTTGGCTTGTCCACTCCTTCCTCCAGCTGATCCCTGCAGATCTGCCCGTAGGCTGAGCAGGCACCTTGTCCCCCAGGAGCAGTTTGTGCCCTCACCTTCCTCTGTTCAGTGGTTGTGCTGCCTCTCTTGCAGGGTAGGTTGACGCTGCTGCGGGACAGCCGGACGGACGGCAGCTTCCTGGTGCACCATTTCCTGTCCTTCTACCTGCGAGGTGGGTGAGCAGCAGCACTCCGAGGCACGGCAACCACGGGGGTGCCTTCCCTTTGCTCCGTGAGCAGAGGCTGCTTGTGCAGAGCGTGAGGCTCCCTTGGGTTAACACAAAGCTTTGGGGCTGGGACTGGAGGATCCCAGGCTGTGGGGACTCGCTCTGTACCCTCGGGTACCTCCCGTAATGTCTGTGCCTTGTTTCCTCACCCAGCCTGGGGATCCTGGTCAGTCACAGGGGCTCTGACAGTGAGGTGTTCACTGCAATTCCTCACTGTCTCCATGTTTTATAGTGGAATTACACATATCAGGATCAACTAACAACAGACAAGCTCATAGTGAGTAAAGAAGCAAACAAAGGGCCTGGCAAGTTGCCTAATTGCTTTTCTGGGAACAGTTTCCCCAGTGAGTAACCTCCTGCTCCCTGTGCAGCAGGCACTGGACTCGACTCCTCCAGCTTTCTGCTGGCACAGCCACCAACCCAGCAAATCTGGTGCTGTCAGGCTTGAAAGGGAGCTCAGAGTGCTGGGCAGGGGGTGGTCTGAGGGCATCCTGCCCCCAGAACTGCCACTGCCTCAGCAGGGATTTCCCCTGCTTGGAAATATTCTTTTACTTAATGGAAAGAGGGAAACTGTGGGAAGTGCCATGGAGAGCAGGTTGGGAGTGGTGTGAATGGTTCATAGGGACTTGCCAGGCACTGCCTTGGGGTCTGCCCACATCCCGTCCTGGCTCTGCTGATGTGCTGCCCTGCAGCACTGCCCTGGGAGTTGCTGCCCGGAGCTGCCCATCTGCCTGGGAAAAGCCTTCCATGCCCTGGGGGTGGGCAGCCCTGTGGAACGGTACTGTCTCAGGACAGGTGTCCTTGCTGTCACCTGCTCCCTTCCACCCCAGGCCCTGGGTGCATTTATTCCCTGTCTGCAGCACCCCCGTGTTGTCCCCTTGGTGCCCAAAAGCTTTGGGGCCTCCCTGTGGAGCTCAGTGGGGCCACTGCCTTGTTGCACTGGAGATCCGTGTCCTGACATGCCCTGGTTGTGTTCATACCTGTAAGGCCAGGTTGTCACATGGTTTTCCAAAATCCCATTTTAGTGAGTGAGGTGTCTTTGTAGAAATTCCTTGTTCTGTGTGCTTTTCCAGTCAAGGTCACTCACCTTAGGAGAGCCAAACTGGGGGTTTTTGGCACGTCGGTGGTTTCAGGAGTTGGTGTCATGGTCGGCCACTGGCCTCCTTACAGTGACTCCAGCAAACGGTGCCAGGAGGTCCCAGGGCACCAGGGCAGGGGGCACAACAGGGGCCTTACACGTTTGTGATGCCATCTTTTTCTTATTCCTTACCCCTCTTTTTAAACTAACATCTCCCCAAAAGTAGAAATCCTCTAGAAAGGTGAAAATTGAAAGCAGGGAGGGGTCTGCCTGGGCCTGTCAGGGCCCTTCCAGACAGCCCTGCGGCCTGGCTGCCCTGGTCGGTGGGCTCTGCTAACAGCACTGCCCTGTGGAACTGCTGACGTGTTTGTCCTCCCCAGCTGGCTGCAAGGTTTGCTTCGTGGCCCTGCTCCAGTCCTTCAGTCACTACAGCATCGTGGCACAGAAGCTGGTGAGTCTCTGGCTGCAGGTTCAGCATTCCAGCTCCAGGTAGTTTGTGCTGGGTGGGAAGGGACGGGAGTGGGGAACAGGAATTGCGTGGGATGTCTCCAGGTCCTGGTGGGGACAGTCAGGGTTGGGGCTCCTGTGGTGGGGGCTGGGGAGCACTCAGGGGCAAAGCCCTGGCTGTGGGGTGCCCCACGGACAGGAGCTGGATGGCTGCTTGCTCTGTGCTGAGGAATGTTTCCTGGGGATCAGCGTTCCCAGACAGGCCCACACTGGTACAGGAGTTCCCTAATCCTCTGGGGAGGAGAGTGCCGTGGGGTGGGTGTTCCCAGGGCCCTGCACGCCGCAGGACACGCTGGCTGTGCGGCACAGGAGCTCCCCAGGGCACTCTGTGCCTGTCCCTGGTTGTGTTGGGATGAAGGGCTGGGTCACCTGGGCACAGGGACACCTGTTTGAGCTGTATGAGGAGCCACACATTCCCTTGTTCTTAGGGGTGTCCTTCCCACGGTGAGTCAGGCAAGGATAATGTGTACCCTGAAATGAAGAAGCAGAGAGCCAAGGTAGGCAGGATAATTCCCTGTGTCAGCAAATTGTCTGAGCTCCAAACTGCTGCTCTCAGCTCTTTGTACAACGCTCAGAGGTGAAACGCTCCAGGTGGGAAGCCCAGGTGACCTTCCAGGGCCGGAGGGATGAGGGCCTGCATTGGTCCTCCCTCCTCTGGCTCTGCTGGGAATCCATGAAGCCTTCCAGGTGCTGGGGAGCCAGGTGTTGCACCTCCTCTATTCCCTGCTGTAAACAGGGGCCGAGTTTCTGTGCTGCTAAAAACCTGTTTTATTTACTGCTCAGTCTTTACCTTTTGAAAGGAGATCAGTGGTCTGAGGTACATGAAGCGGGCTGAGGGAATGGAGCTGTAACTCCCAGGTGGATCCTTGACGTGGGATTCCCCTGCAGAGCAGATCCCCACTGAGCAAACCAGCTCCCAGCATGGAGCTGTCCCGGCCTTTGTGGTGCAGAGAGGAGGAAATCTTGGGGGGAACTTGCTGAATAGGGCAGGAAATGGGGCACAGCAGCTGGTGTGGGGAGGAGATCCAGCTGTTAAATGTGGGCTCCCTGGAGCAGGATGGTCCGTCGCTGTGGTTCCTAACGTGGTGAGAGCTAACAGGAGCTGCTGCCATCTCCCTGTGGGAGAGGCTGAGCAGGGACAGAACGTGGGGATTAGCTGGAGCGCAGGTGCAGTGCAGGTCAGGGTGCTGTGCTGGGTGACACTCCTGCAGAAAGGTGGCTGCCACGGAGGAGGGCATGAGAACAGCACGGTTTGCCCGGGGGGCTCAGAGAGCTGAGCCCAGCTCAGCTCTGAGTCACTCTGCCATTGTAACTTCCCAGGTGCCCCTGTGCTCGCTTGGTGTGAACTCCTCCCAGGCTCTGCCGAGCTGGGGGTCCTAACATCCAACATCAGTTATTTATAGCCAGGTTTCCATCACATCTTGTCTTTGCTTTAACCCTCCTGTGCCCAGATGAGCGTGCCAGGCTCAGTGAAGGGGGTTCTTGGCAGAGTAGTTTCACTCTTGGGTTTGTTTAAGGACTTGGTGCTGTAGATCTCTGCAGGAGACCAGCTGGGGTGCAGCACACCCCAATTTCAGTGTGCCTGAGCTGTGTCCTGCTGCTGGGAGGTGACCTGCACACTCCACCCAGTGACCAGCTCCTTCCTTCCCATCTCCTGTTCCTTGGGAATGAGCTCCAGACCAACTGCAGGGCTTTCCATGTTGGCCAGGAGAGTTGCAGAGATCAGGCTGTAGTTCCTCTGGGAAGTGCTTGGAAGAATCTGACCCGTGAGCAGCCACCTGCTTCGTGTTATCCATCCAAAGGGGCTGGACGTGAGCCCAGCTGTGCCCAAGTGGCCAAGACAGCCAGTGGCACCAGGTTTGTGCCAGCCCCAGTGTGGGCACAAGCCCAGGGCAGTGCCCACCCCTGTGCTGGCACTGCTGAGGCACCTCCAGTCCTGGGGGCAGTTCTGGGCCCCTCACAACAGGACACTGAGGGGCTGGAGCGTGTGCAGGGAAGGGAAGGGAGCTGGGAAGGGGCTGGAGCAGCAGGAGCAGCTGAGGGAGCTGGGGGGGCTCAGCCTGGAGAAAAGGAGGCTCAGGGGGGACCTTCTGGCTCTGCAACCCCCTGACAGGAGGGGGGAACTGGGGGGGTCGGGCTCTGCTCCCAGGGAACAAGGGACAGGAGGAGAGGGAACGGCCTCAGGCTGTGCCAGGGGAGGGTCAGGCTGGACATCAGGAGGAATTTCCTGCTGGAAAGGGTGGTCAGGCACTGGCAGGGGCTGCCCAGGGAGGTTTGGAGTGCCCAGCCCTGGAGGGATTTCAAAGCCCTGTGGATGTGGCCCTTGGGGACATGGTCAGTGGTGGCCTTGGCAGTGCTGGGGGACCAGTTGGATTCGATGGTCTCAGAGGGCTTTTCCAATCTCAGTAATTCTATGATTATGCCTTTAGGAAAGATTGCACTTGGAAGAGCTTCAGAACTGAGTGATGCTCTTGTTTCCACTGGGAACTCGATGGTCCCAGGCCTGGGAGGAAGGTCCTGGAGCCAGGGTGGATTTTACAGCCTTTACACACTGGTTTGTGGATCTGGTCCTTGTAGTGCCTGGGCAGTGCTACAGTGGGTATTTACACCCAGCTGGAGTGCTGCTTCCATGTATGTGCTGCCTTCCCAGGGTACCACATTCTACCAGTCCCAGACCAGTTCCTTGCGTGTTAGCCAAATGCAGGGATGTATTTTCACTGGCAGGAAAAAGCTTTCCTGGCTTTTTGTGCCCGTGTCCTCTTTTCCTGAGGATTTGCACTTCATTTTCAGGGCCAGTCAATGTTTTTTGCCATGACCTTGCAGAGAACATGCTGGGCCGTAGCTGGACTAACAACACCAGGGCACTTTGCCAGGTTGGTGTTCCCACCCTCGTTTGGACAAAGTTTGTTGTGTTTTAAAGGACAAACAGATTTGTCCTCGTTTGGTCTCCCTCTGGCCTGTCCCCTGTTCCCTGCTCCAAGCCCTCAGCCCGGAGGACGTGGCCTGGCCTGATCACTGATGGCCACACTTTGTCCCACAGCTCATTCCTGCTGCCTCACATACTCCATTCCTTGCTCCCTCCAAATATTTTGCTTTCCCTTATGGAATGGCAGTTCTGGTTTGAGGGGACATCCTGGGCCCCACGCTCCAGGCAGCTTCCCAGAGGGATGGGAAGAGCTGAGCTGTGCTGCAGAGCCATTCGTGGCTGGATCCATAGCTGGCAGTGGGGTGGGATGCTGGGAGACCAGGAAGGCTCTCAGGCTGTGAGTGCTGGGCAGCACTGTGTGTCCCGTGGGCACTCAGGGGGGTGCCATTGGCCATTTGGAGCAGTTTTCCCACCATCTCCAAGCTGTCCTGTGCTGCTTCCAGAGGTTATGCTGGGCAGGCTGCTCCCTGGGAGACATCAGAGCTGGCTGTGGCAGGGCAGGGGGTGAGTCCAGGTCTCTCTGGGCCCTGGTTCTCCACCTGGAAAATGAGGCTGGACTTGCTGTGTCCGTGTACCAAGAGGATGGAATTCCTGGTTTGACACACAGACACCCTGTCCCTGCTGCTGTGGCCCTTCCCTGCCACCCAGGCAGGCCCTGGTGGCACAGCACGGAGCTCCCCTCTGCAGAGGGGACACTGCTTTGCTGCTGAACTCCAGAGAGACGGTGTGTGCAGGAGGAAGTGGCTGAAGCAGAGGTAAAATCCGTTGCTGAGTTATTAGTAGTGAATTTAGTTGTGGCATTTCAGCAGGTTCCTGGTCCTGTGGGCTCCAGAAATGCCCGAGGGAATGAGGTTTGTGCTGCTGCTCTGCAGCCCAGCCCTGCTTTATGGCACGGCAGGTATTTATTTGCCAGCTGTTCCCTGCTCCTCACCTGCCACAGAAAGCTGCCTCTGTCCTTGGCTGGAAAGTTTTCCATGGGGTGTGCTTGCAATTGCCCAAAATGCTGATAGTTTGAAGTTATTTCTGGGGGGAGGTGTTGAAAAAAATCTATTGCTTTGTAGAGGGAGTTTGGAGGGAAAAGGAACATTCAGGCACACGTTCTTTCCCAGCTGAGCAAGAGTTAAAAAGGGTGAACGTTCTTCTCAGGTAGCAGGAGTCACTGGGCTGGGAGTCCAAGCAGCTTCCATTCAAAGCAGGGAGAGATGCCAGCAGGCAGGAGTTGGGTCAGGCCTCAGGTTATTCTGAATAGCAATGTCCAAAGTGATAGTACTGCAAAACTGAGTCTGGGAAGTGGAATAGTTTGGGTTGGAAGGGACCTGAAAAGGTCACCTAATCCGACCCCCCAGGAAATAGTTGTCCTGCCATGGGATCATGGGATCACAGAATAGTTAAGGTTGGAAAAAGCCTCTGAGTCCACTGAGTCCCAACTGTCCCCCAGCACTGCCAAGGCCACCACTGACCATGTCCCCAGGTGCCACATCCACAGGGCTTTGAAATCCCTCCAGGGATGAGGACACCACCCCTGCCCTGGGCAGCTGTGCCAGGGCTGGACAGCTGTTTCAGGGAAGAAATTTCCCCAGTATCCAACCTAAACATCCCCTGGCACAACTTGGAGGCCGTTCCCCTTGCCCTGTCCCTTGTTCCCTGGGAGCAGAGCTCGACCCCCCCTGGCTCCCCCTCCTGTCAGGGAGTTGCAGAGAGTGAGAAGGTCCCTTCTGACTTTCACCAACTCCAACTCATGAACTTGGATATAAGGAAGTTTTTTACAATGAGGGTGGGGAGCCCTGGCACAGGTTACCCAGAGAAGCTGTGGCTGCCCCTGGATCCCTGGAAGTGTCCAAGGCCAGGCTGGACAGGGCTTGGAGCAACCTGGGAGAGTGAAAGTGTCCCTGCCCTTGGCAGGGGGTGGCACTGGGTGGTCTTTAAAAGTCCCTTCCAGCCCAACCTGTCTGGGGTTCTGTGATCTCCAGCTGGACTCCCCTCCATCCCTGCTGCAGCTCTGGGATGGCCCCGTTGGAGCTGGACGTGCCCTGCCCATGGCTCTCCTTGGCCTCCCCAGCACACAGGGCTGAGAGCCGGCTGTGCTTTGAGCCTTGGTCCCTCCTGCTCCTCCATGTGGATCAGGCTGAGGCCCTTCCCTTGGAGCCCTGGCTGCTCTCCCCTGGGTGTTGTGCAATGCCGTGGTGCCCACGGCCCTCCCCTGGTCGGGGCCGTGCCCGGCTCGGGCGCGTGGGCTGTGCCAGGGAGTCGGCACTGCCACAGCCCTGAGCTGGAGACAGGGAAAGCCAAAAGGTTTTGCCACCCATGGAGGGAGGGTGAAGCAATTGCTCACAGCAGGTCCTTGCAGGAGCCTGGGCCACCCTCTCCCTGTCTCTGCAGAGGCAGCTGGTTTTCTCCCTTGCTGCCAGGCTGACTTCCCAGGAGGAGTACCAGGATGTTTGAGCCCCCAAATCCCAGCAGGGTATTTTAATCTGGTAAAATACAGGAGAGGGAATGTGCCACCAGTGTGTCACAGAACCACCCATTTCACTGCTGAAGCACTGGCATTATCAGCACATTTAGATAAGATTTGATAACGTTGGGCCGTTGCCCCGTGTGGTTCTGTTTGCACCATTTCTCCAGAGCTGTTCACTCAAAACCTGCTGTTTTCCTCTCCCCAGGGAGTCAGTCTGACAGCTGCCAAGGAGCGGGGGCAGCTGGTCTTCCTGGAAGGCCTCAAGTCCTGCCTTGACCTCGTGTTTGGGGAGGAGGAGGAGCAGCCAGGGCAGCCCAGTCCTCTGCTGTTCCTGAGGTGAGCTGAGCCCAGCACAGAGTGTTCCCCCCGTGTCCTGCCTCCACAGCCCCCAGAGCACCACCGAGTGAAGGGGAGCACCAGCACCAGGCACATCCCTGTGCGTGTCCTGGCCTGTCCCTCTCTGCTGTCAGAGAGGGAGTCTGTGCCCCTCTCGGGCATTTTGGGGGAATTCCTGCCCCCATCCACACTGCCAGCATGTTACAAGTCTAGAAAAACATTTATTTCAACACTCAGCAGGTTTGTGTCAAACAAAACTCCAGCCAAGTTGTTTTATTCCTTTTCTTTAATTATTTTGAGTTTTGATCTTATCCAAGGGCACAGTGCTGCTTTATCCATGCTGGCTTTTGGGTTTATTCCCATTTCACTTTCTCCATGCCCCACAGTAAGCTCAGCAAAGGCAAAACACTTCTCTGGAAGTGTTCAAGGCCAGGTTGGACGGGGTTTGGAGCAGCCTGGTCTAGTGGAAGGTGTCCCTATCCGTGGCAGGGATGGACCTGGATGGGCTTTAAGGTCCCTTCCCATCCAAACCGTTCCATGATCCCTGGGGCCAGGTGGGAGGGTGTCAGCACACACAGGGGTAAAGGAGCAGTGACTGAGGGCAGTGCAGGGCCTGGGGACTGTCCCAGCAGTGGGGACAGCAGGGAGGGGACGGGCTGGGGCAGAGGGTGCCCGTGCTGGGTCAGTGGTGAGCAGGCGATGCCAGGCCCTGACTCCTCCTCCATCCCTTGCAGTGGGAGCCCCTCCGACCTGCGGGCCCTGTTCGACTTCGTGCGCGTGTCCCTGAGTGCCCCGGGCAGCGAGGCCTGCGCGGGCCCCGTGCTGCTGCTGGATGACCTGAGTGTGCTGCTGGGCCTGGGGGCCTCGCCCGTGGCCCTGCTGGACTTCATCCACTACTGCCGGGCCCTCGTGTGCTGCCAGCTGAAGGTACTGCTCCCCCGTGCCTGGGCTGAGCCTCCACAGCACAGCCTGCCTTTGTTTGCTCTTTCCACCTGACCCCGGTGAAGCTTTGGAAGGCTTTGGCTGTCCAAGAGATTCAGACCGTTGCTCTGGGGTCGGTCTTTGGGAATTGTGTGAGTCCCTGGAATAGCTGTGCAGCTGGATTCCTGCTCTAGAGCCACTCTCAGGAGTTGTGTGAGTCCCTGAGTACCTGTGCAGGCTCCTGTGCAGCTGGATTCCCCCAGAGAAGGGTTCTCAGTGTCCCTGACATGTGAGCAGGGATTTGAGGTGTAAAATAATGTTTCTTGGAGCTCCAGGCTCTCCAGAAATCCCAGCTCACATCCGAGGTGGGAGGAGGCAGGGAAGGAAATGGGTTATGTGAGGGGTTGGTGACTCTCACAGGGGACAGAAACAAGGGTCCCCTTGGAGGGCACCACAGTCCCTGCTCCCACCAACCTGGAGTGTCTGTGTGTTGTTCCAGCTGGTTTCCAAGGGGCTGTGATGATGTCCAAGATCTGCCCAGTGATGTGCTGACTCCTGGGAGCACCACAGCCAGAACTGGTTCCAGTCCCCTCCAGACTGTGCCAGCCACACCACCGTGTCCCCTGCTGGGCACTTCTGTGCGGGGGTGAGGGCTGAAGGCGGCGGTGTCGGGTGGGATGGTGGGCTCATCCTGCCCTTCCCACAGCACGGGGTGCTGGGCTGAACGGGCTGACAGGGGATGTTCTGCCTGTGCAGAATATTTACCTCCAAAGCAGCTATAAAAGATGAGAAACCATGCTAACACTTTTCTATTTCAGTCTGAGGTGTTCTGAAGCTTTCAAGTACATTTTAATTGATTGAGAATTCCATGTTATTTTAAGTCCTTGGTGACTTGCATCGTCTGAGCAGAGACTCTGGGGATGGATTTTAATAGAGTGGGTGTGTTGGGGAGCTCTTTGCTCCTTGTCAGAGTTGTGATTGTGTGAGTGTTGCTGCAGCCCTTCGGCCACCTCTTTATTTACCTGCTCTGAATTCAGTCAGTGCCATCTGCCCAGCCTGACAGACTGGTTTAACCAGACTCTGTCTCATAACAGAGCTCGAGGTATTTTTAGGCTGCACATTATGTGTGTGTATGTGTGTGCACAGTGCACACACAGCAAGCTCTTCCAGAGTTTATAGGTCATGCAATCACAGAATGGTTTGGCTTGGAAGGGACCTTAAGGATCATCCAGTGCCACCTGCTGCTGTGGGCAGGGACACCTTCCACTAGCTCAGGTTGCTCCAAGCCCCATCCAACCTGGCCTTGGACACTTCCAGGGATGGGGCAGCCACAGCTTCTCTGGGCAACCTGTGCCAGGGCCTCCCCACCCTCCCAGCCAAAAATTCCTTCCCAATATCCCATCTCTCCCTGCCCTCTGGCAGTGGGAAGCCATTCCCTGTGTCCTGTCCCTCCATCCCTTATCCCCCGTCCCTCTCCAGCTCTCCTGGAGCCCCTTCAGGCCCTGCCAGGGGCTCTCAGCTCTCCCTGGAGCCTTCTCTTCTCCAGGGGAACCCCCCCAGCTCTCCCAGCCTGGCTCCAGAGCAGAGGGGCTCCAGCCCTGGCAGCATCTCCGGGGCCTCCTCTGGACTCTCTCCAGCAGCTCCACGTCCTCCTGCTGTTGTTCCCGGGGCTGGAGCAGCTCTGAGTGGGGCAGCGGGGCAGAATCCCCCCTGCCCTGCTGCCCTGCCGTGGGGTCAGCCCAGGGCACGTGGCCAGGGCATGTCCAGCCTGTCCCTGCAGCTGCTGGCTCTGTTCCCAGGGCAGTTCAGCTCAGCCCATACTGGGGGATGCCTGAGCTCGGCTGGGACCTCTGTGCAAATCCCATGTCCATCTCCCCTTCCTCCCCTGAGGGATGGAGTCCCGTGGCTCATCCCTGCCTGCTGCTCCCGTTGCAGGGGAACGTCGTGGTGCTGGTTCACAGCAGGGAGGACTCGGAGGACGAGGAGAACGAACTGGTTGTGAACTCCCTGTGCCATCACAGCGACCTGATCCTGTGGGCAGAGGGACTGGCCACCGGCTTCTGCAAGGATGTGCACGGGCAGGTGAGGCACGGGAGGGCACCCAGGGGTGGCACTGTCCCTGTCACCTGCAGCACTGCCCGTGGGAGACAGCCTGGTGAGGGACTGATCCTGGGCACCAGGATCTGCTGCAACACCCGGGCTCCTATGGCTGTGACTCCACTTCTGTGGGGATATCTGGGGACATCCTGCCCCACCTGGGGACTCCCCCACCTCTGGAAGCTTTCCAGGGTTTATACAGCAGCTGCAGCACCGGTTTCTCCCACCCCAAGGTGATGGCAGAGAAAAATACCAATTTCCTGGGAAGTTTCCCCAGGGATGGATCTGAGCCTGGCCAGTGGTGATCTCCTCGGGGCTGGGACAGCTTTGGAGCCTGATCCCTCATCGGGGTCTGCCACCACAGGGACAGGGGCAGGCAGGGCTGCCACCACAGGGACAGGGGCAGGCAGGGCTGCCACCACAGGGACAGGGAGCTGTATGAGGGGTTATTTTTCAGTGATCCCCTCCCTGCAGGCCAGCAGAGGCGTGGGGGCAGCCAGAGGGCTGATGTTCCTGTTCCTTTCCCTTGGCAGCTGAAGATAATCCAGAGGGTGTCCCTGCAGCAGGCGGGGGAGCAGGATCTCGTCCAGATCTACCAGTACAAGATCCAGGACCGCAATGTCACCTTTTTCGCGAGGGGGCTGTCGGCTGCAGTCCTGTGAGGCTGTGACAGCGAGCCTGGGAATGCCAGTCCCTGCCTCCAGCTAGCCTGGCAGCTCCACCAGCACCTTCCAGGAGCAGCACAGCAATCTGACCCGGGAGGGAGGCTCAGACGCACCTGGAAGCGGTGCCAGCACGGGGATCAGCCTGCCCACTGATGCCACATCCCTTTGTCCTCCCACCCGGTTCCCAATGGGCTCAGGCCAAGAAGAGGAGCAAGAACGTGCAGGAATGGCCCTCGGAGCCTGTGAACACAGGCGGGGGATGCCCCGGGGGCTGGGTGTGCCTCACCTTTTCCGGTGTGTGCCAGGCGCTGGGAGCACTGGCACGGCAGGAGATGACACAGCGGGCGGGGCAGGGATGGCCTGGCAGCCTCTGCAGTGCTCTCCTTGTCCCAGCTCTGGCTGGGGGAGAGCTGCTCCACTCCAGCGTCCACACAGGGTGAATCCACAGCTCGTGTGCAGCCCCTCACACTGCAGTGGGACCTGGGTGTTGCCTTCACTGGCTGATCCCTTGGCTTCCCAAGCTCGTTCTTGGCTTTGGGGTTGGATAAACCCCTGTCCGTGAGCCTCTGTCTCAGCCACTGCTTCCCCTTCCCAAATCCTGACCAGCAGGTACATGACCTGCCTGTACTGAAGCATTTTTTTTTGGATAATAATCCCTAATTTTAATGAGATAAGGGTACAGTGATGAAATAACCACGGATTTCTGTGTGAGAACCACTCCCCACCGGCTCCTTGGCAGAGGGCAGGAATGGGCATCTCCCAAGCCTGGATGAGGAGAGGGCTGTGGGTCCCCTCCCTCCCCATGGCCGGGAGGGCAATCCCGGGAGCAGAGCTCAGGCCTGGAGGTCTCCCAGCAGATGCTCAGCTGGGATCTCCCATTTATCCTGGGAGAGAAACAACATCCCACACGCTTGTGAGAGACAAGTGACCTGCCAGGTCCTTGCAGGTCCAGAGCTGGGTAACAGCTCCGGCAGTGGGACACGTTCCTGCATTTTCCATGGAGACTCAGTGACCCATCCTGCTGCAGGTTTGGGAATGGTCCCTTTGGCTTGAGTTTGGGAAGCCCTGGCTGAGTGATGGCAGTCCAGGGAGGCTGAGCAGGCTCCGAGGAACCGGGGAGGGCAACCAGGCCCTGCATGTGCTGTAGGATCACATGTGCTGTGGGTCTGTCCGTGCTCTGCCATGGCAGTGGCAGTGCCAGGGCTGCTGCTGCCAGCCCAGCATGGTGACAGGGCCCAGGGGACAGTCTGCAAAGGGAGGAGGATGAGACAACCTGTGGTTCTTGGGGAAAGGAGCTGCTTAAAATACACCTGTAATGAGCATAGAATGGTACATAATTGGAGTAATGTCTGTGTGATTACCTTTGGAGGGATCCCAAAACCTCCTGGCTCAAAGCTCTGCCTGCCTCCTGTGGAACTGGCAGGGTGGCCGTGTGACATCACCGTGTGACATCACTGCTGGCCTTTGCCTGCTTTGTTCTGTGCTCACCCAGTGTCAGCATCCAAGAAACCAGGGCTGGGGAGCCTCAGCCTGACCTCCATGTTCCCAGGATCTGAGCCCTTCGGGATGAGCTGCTCTGCCTGCACCGTGAGCGGGGGGAGCTCGGGCAGGGAGATTCCTGCTGGAGTAGGGGGTGGTGCTGCTGAGGACCGAGCCCAGCACTCCCAGCATCCCTGCCCACGTCCAGCAGTGGCCTTGGCCATCAGGACATGGAGGGGCAGCCCTGCTGCGCCAAGGCCAGGGGCACGGCCAGGACCCAGCCGGGACCTCGCTCCGGGGCTGACGCTGCGGGAGAGCAGCCAGGGAGCGGAGATCGGGAACTGTGCCCTCGGTGCCAGGACGGGGTGGCCTTGCCCAGGGTCGGCCCCCAGCTGCGTGCTCAGGGCTGTGGGAGCCAGAGCTTGGGCAATGCCGGGGAATCCAGCGGGCTCGGGCTCGGCTTTGTTCCCTCGGCCTCGGGGGGAGCACCTGGGGCCTTGGGGAAAGGCCCACCACGGCTGGGCTGGTGGGACAGGGATGTGGGTCCTGGGAGAGGGGGGTGATGTGTTGGGAAGGGCTGCCAGCAGCAGGGACTGTTGGGAAGTGTCAGAGCCCGATGGCTGTTTTTGGAGGTGCTCAGTCCCTGGAGATGAAGGGGCAGGGCTTGCGTCTCCCAGCACTTCACCCCATGCCAGCAGTGTGCTGGCAGGACAGCGTGGGCATTCCCGGGGGGAAGGGAAGATCCCTTGGCTCTGGGTACCATCTGCCCCTGGCCCTTCCAGGCATCCACCATGCGCTCCGTTCTCAGCGCTCCCCGTGCCTGTCCCACTCCTGTTCCAGTATCTGAGTCACCTCTGTCCCCTGCACCGAGCCAGGGCTCCCGGTGCCAGGCCCTCCGTACAGATCCGCGCTCCCCCGCATGCCCCAGGGTTCCTGGTGCCCAGTATCCCACCTCTGCTCCCCATCCCCCGTTCCTGAGGCCTTCCAGCGCTCCTAGTGCAAGGTCATCTCTCCAGACCCGTTCTCCCTCCCAGGGGTCCTGGTGCTCAACCCTCCCGTGCCCCCAGCGCCTGACCCGCACATGGCCGCGGCTCGCGGGTGCACGGGCCGGCTCCGCTCTCCCCCTGCGTGCCCGGTTCTCCTCCGCTCCCACGGCCCTCCCCGTCCCCAGGATCCTCCTCCCGCCTTGCCGTGTGTCCATCCCATCCCATCCCATCCCATCGCATCCCGGCTCCACGTGTTCCCGCCGCCCCCGCACCGCTTCCGGGGGGCGTGGCCAAAGGCAGCGAAGCGCGGGGTATCAACCGGAGGCGTGGCCATGCAAATGCACGCTCTCATCTGCATATGGGCGTGGCTATGGAAAAACCCCGCTATTATTGGCATGTGGGTGTGGTTATGCAAATGACCCCATCCTGGGAGCGAGCGGGCCCGCTGGGGGCGTGGCCGGCGCGGTGTGGGCGGGGGGCGCGGCGGGCGCGCGGCGCTGCGCGCGCGCGGTGAGTGCCCGGCGGGGGGCAGAGCCCGGGCCGGAGCGGCGGGAGCGGAGCGGGCAGGGCCGGGAGCGGAGCGGGCAGGGCCGGGCACAGCCGGGCCGAGCCGGGCAGAGCCGGGCAGAGCCGAGCCGGGAGCGGCGGCGGACCCGCTGGGCTGCGGCCCAGGCGAACGGCGGGCAGGAAACGCTACCGGAAAGAAGCACGGGCGAGCGCCGCGGCCGGCGGGAGGTCAGAGGGCGGAGGTGAGGAGGGAGCCGCTCCCCGGTGAGGTGAGGAGGAAACAGCCCCCAAACCCCCTTCCCGACCCCCTGCCCTGCCTCAGCTCCCCTCAGGCCCCTCCGTGCCTCAGTTTCCCCCTCCCGGGGTCCGGGCGCGCTCCCCTCCCCCCTCCATATTTTTAGCGATAATCGAAAAGGAATTTGGGAAAATCTTCCCTACAGGGTCGGGAGAAGGTGCTTGTTGGAAAAAGGGTTAAAATGAGGGAACATGTAAAGGGATTGATGGGAACGTGCAGTAAAATACTCCAGTTCTGGGGTACTGAAGGTGCGAAGCCAGGAGGGGGGAGGAGGGAAGGAGTTAAATCACCTGCTCTGCGGGGCCGGGATGAGGATTAAAAGGAGGGAATACCTGAAGGGAATGCTGGGAACATGGAGTGTTCCAGCGCCCGGGGGTTGTGCCGAGCGCTCGGGAAGCGGGAGGATCCCGGGGGGCTCTGGGCTCCCAGCCCGGTCCTGCCCCGGACTCGGGAATCAACTTCCCCGGGGAGTCCCAGGGAGCGATTTTAGGGTGTTTTTAATACAAAGAACAAGGAGCTGTTTGGATGCCGGAGCCACCGTGGGCTGTGTTCGGGAGGATCCCGAGGAAAGGACTCCGGAAGGATTCCGGAGTTTCCTGAGTGCGACATCCACGTGTTTTCCAGGATCGTGGAAAGACAGACCAAGTTTCTTTTCACGAAAGGGGCAGAGATGAGGCGTGAGCTCCCTCTGTGAAACCAGGACGGGGTGGTAAATTTGGGATTACGCGGGGCTGTTGTGTAATGCAGAAAGGAGATTAGCTGGGATTGGGATGAGAGGAAAACACCCCGGGATGTTCCGGGAACGTCCCCCGGCCCAGCTCTGCTCCATTTCCAGGTACAGCCCTGAACTTGGCACAGGGCTGTTTGTTTTCTCAGTTGCGAGTCAAATATCACAGCCCAAAAGGAGCAAAGAACAATCGGGGATTGTCTCAGGAGCACTAAAATAGCGTTTTGAGTGTCAGGATCGTGGTGATGAATGAACCTGTCAGGCTCTCGCTGAGTTACTCGGTGCTATTTTCAGGCAGGGGGTTGCTGGGCCTGTCTGGCGTCAGAGTTTGGATCACTGTGCACCAAAAAGTCCTGGGGTTTTTTCTCTGTGATGAGCAAAGAGTTCAGAAAATAGAACAGGTGCAGCTGGAGGAGCAAACATAGCTTTACCTGCCTGTAGTGGAACGTTGTGCGTGGGGAGGGGATGGGCAGGAGCAGCAGCACAGCAATTCCAGTGCACCCTGTGACCCGGGAATCCTTTCCAGGCCAGGGGGCTGCAGCACCTTCCTTCCCTTTGACAAGAGACTTTCTCCAGCGAGCTGTGGCTGGAGGTGGAGGCACAATTCCCTGCCCTGGGAGCAAGGGGGGACTGATGGTGCTCGGCACGAGGGACCAAGAGACTGAAAGTAGGTGTAGACTGAGCTTTCCAGGCATTCCTTGGCTCTAATGCCTGGGGTTATAATTCCTCTGAATCCCTCTCTCCCCCTTGTACAGTGCATTGAGGGGTGAGAAGGAGAGGCTGAAGGAGCACTGAGCTGTTCTGTGGTGCTGCAGCCTCGGGGAGTGTTCCTGCTCACATCCCAGGTACCCACACCAGGGGGGAACAGGGAGTGAAAGGTGCTTGGCTTGCAGGGAATCTTTCAGTTCCTCTCTTCAGGTGAAGACACAGCCCCGGTGGCTCAGAACAGCTGTGGCCTTTTGGCATAACTGGGCTCCCCTGGGAAAAAATGAACTTCTCCTTCCAGGAAAAGAGTGATTTTAGCTGGAGTGAGAGCACGGTGGGCAGTGGGGAGGGGAGCAGCAGTGCAGTTCCTTGGGAAAATCTGAATTAATCTTGTGTGGAGCATTGTGAGAAAGGGATAATAGTGGGTTTGTTTCCCAAAGACAATGTCCGAGTCAGACTGTGGGACTTGCTGCCTCACAGAGGGGGTTTGGGATCGTTTCTGTGTCGGGAAGAAAGAGCAGAGTGATTTCCTGAGCCTGGCTTCCTAATGGTGGTTATTAGAAAGGATAATATTTGTTGTGTGATGCTGGAGATGCCAAACACTCCCTCTCGGGGCTGGGAGCCCTGGAAGTTGGGGTGTTCAGCCTTTCCTGGTGTTCCTGCTGTGACCCAGAGCCTGTGCAAAGCCAGTCCCATGGAGATGTGTCACCTTACAGCTGCTGTGTCCCTCCTGCCTTCCCAGGCCACTTCCCAAGCCCCAAAGATCTGGGACTGCAGAGTTTTTAACCATGAACACCGTCCTGGTTGAGGGTTTGGGGTTTGTTTCTGAGGGAACAGTGCAGGGAAACCCGTGCTGGGGGTTGTGTCTGAGCTCTGGCTCTGGCCTTCCTGGCTGTGCTGTGGTGGTGAGTGGCTGCTCCAGGAGGGGCAATCTCCAAGGGCTGTGTTGTGGTGGTCCCAGGCTGCTCCAAGGGCTTCCCAGGTGGACTTTGTCTGAAAAAGGCAGAGCTGGAGCTGGGCAGAACCTTCCCAGTGCTGGTTGAACACTGCTGAGCCCTCCTGCCCTGGGGGTTGTTCAAACCCACGGGTCATTCCAGTCCTCCTTTGAGGAGCAGCAAAGCCACCTCAGGAGGATTAAGATTAAATTCAAACCCGACCCTCAGAGGGCATGGAGGGACACAGAGATTGTTCTGGGAATGCCCTCCAGGACAACCACCCTCGGTTCCCTCTTCCTCCCTGTTCTGGGCATCTTGGGTGCCAGCAGGAACACTTCAAGAAGGTAGAGGAGGAAAGAACAGAGGGGAAAACTTAGGCTGGCATCCCCAAAACCAGAGTGTTCAGCATCTCTGGGCTCTTGGTGAGCAACTGGTGGTGGTGACAGGCCACGAAAAGGAAGAGCAGCTTTGCGAGCTGTCGTTGCAGGGAGGTATTTCTGTCTTGTGTGCTCGGACTAAAAAAACCCTTCCAGGCTTCAGGAGGCGTCTCCTGAGCCCGGAACGTGGTGGGGCTTTGCAGTCCCCGAGGGCAGCGAGCAGTGGGTGAGGGTGTGGGACAGAGGATGGGGAAGAGCAGTGGTGCTGAGATCCTGCAGCAGGCAGGGGATGGTTGGGGAAGCCCTGCCAGGGACAGGGCGTGTGGAGCAGCCGGTGCTTGGCCACGGGCACTTCCTTGGCAAGGGCAGTTGGCTCTTTCTAGGATAAGGTGTCAGGGCTGTTTCTGGCTGCAGTCACGGATCCAGTGAGATTTGATTTCCGTGCCAAAAAAACTGCTCAAGTAGGTGAGGCTGAAAAAACCCAGAGCCTCAGAAGGTGCCAGTCTGTGGTGGATAAAAATGTGGTTAAATAAACCCACTCAGAGCAGCAGTAACACCCCCAGTAAGGGCTCTGGGTGTGCTGAGAGGGGCTGGGGGGTCTCAGTCACCACTGCAGGGGCAGTGACTGTGCAGGTCAGAGCTGTAATGGCACAGAGAGGGAAGGGCTGCACCTATGGCCGGTGACTGAAGAGGGACAGAGGGGTTTGAGGGATTCAGTGTGGCCTGAAGATGGGCTGCAGGTCACAAGGGTGAGGGTTGGGGTTCCAGCAGAACCAGCCAGCTGCAGGCTCCAGGATAACTGAGGAGGTGTAATCCCTCGTGGAAGGAACCTGGTGAGCTCCTGTGGGGAGGGGAGGAGGGGCTGTGGGAGTGCTGAGTGTGAAAGTTGGGCAGGACACTGCAGGATGTGAGGGGATGTTTCTGGCCCCCCAGTGATGAGGTGTCAGGGGACACCCCTCGTGTGGCTCTGAGGTGACACTGGTGCAGTGACCCAGACAAGTGCAGAGAGTGAATCAGCCCAGCCTGGGCAGAGTGTGAGGGGACATGTTGTGTGTCCTGGGGAGATTGAGGGGACACTCCAGGAATTTACTGGTACAAGGAGCATCCTGGGTTATGTTACCAGGTGTGAGACAGGCCCAGGGCAGTGCCCACCCCTGTGCTGGCACTGCTGAGCCACCTCCAGTCCTGGGGGCAGTTCTGGGCCCCTCAGGACAAGACATGGAGGGGCTGGAACATGTGCAGGGAAGGGAACAGAGCTGGGAAGGGGCTGGAGCAGCAGGAGCAGCTGAGGGAGCTGGGGGGGCTCAGCCTGGAGCAAAGGAGGCTCAGGGGGGACCTTCTGGCTCTGCAACCCCCTGACAGGAGGGGGGAGCTGGGGGGGGTCGGGCTCTGCTCCCAGGGAACAAGGGACAGGAGGAGAGGGAACGGCCTCAGGCTGTGCCAGGGGAGGCTCAGGTTGGATATTGGGACAATTCCTTCTTGGAAATGGTTGTCCAGCCCTGGCACAGCTGCCCAGGGCAGGGGTGGAGTCCTCATCCCTGGAGGGATTTTAAAGCCCTGTGGATGTGGCACCTGGGGACATGGTCAGTGGTGGCCTTGGCAGTGCTGGGGCTGGTTGGACTCGGTGATCCTGGAGGGCTTTTCCAACCTCAGTGATTCCAGGTTCCAGGTGCTGCTCCCAGGCTCTGTGTGCCCGCTGGGAACAGCACTGAGGGGGTTTAAATGGCAGGGGGGGCCCAGGTGAAACGTCCCCAAACCCTGTGTAAGGCCTGGGACCTGCAGCCATTGCTCAGGGTGGCTGAGGAGTCTCCAGCTGCTTAGGAGCAAATGGGATAACAGTCCCTGGGGAATGATCTGAGTGGAACTCGTGATGCTCTGGGTGAGGGGCACGAGGTGGAGCCCTCAGAGTCCCCTCAGGCCTGTCTGCTCTCCCCGGGGTCTGGCAGTGCTGGGGCTCCCTGAGCATGGGGGGGCAGGAGGGATGCAGGGGGAGAAGGGCCTTTCCCTGCAGGCAGGGGGAGGGACAGGGACGGGCAGAGAAGTGGGGTGTCCTTCAGTGCAGCCTGGGATGGCCTTGAGTGAGGCCCAGAAATCTGCCAGGGCTGTGCTGAAGGGTTTGTCTGGATCTTAGGCAGTTCCTGTTCTCCTGTGGGGAGTCGGGGCAGCTCTGGGGAGGGTTTGAGTCTCACGTGCTGGAAACTCAGAAATGACACTGAGCGTGGATCTGACA